TCAAAGTTTTCTTTGCGGATTCGGGGAGATCTCGGTGAGCGCAGTCCAACCATGTTTACAAAAAAAAAAAAAAAAAAAAAAATTGACCCAGTTTTGGACCCAACCGGAATTCCGGTTGGACCACCGGGGGTCCAACCGGCCCGGTTGGATCCAGGCCGGTCCAACCGGCCGGTTGCCGGCACAGCCATGCCTGATGGGATAGCTGAGGGTGAGGGCGCTGAGGGCTACAGAAGATCAAACCACCACTGCATCCGAGCGAGCGCCTTTTTTTATGTTTTTTTTATACTGCGCTGTGCCGCCAGGCCTCTTTTTTCTGTCACCGGCTCGTTTGCCGCTCAATGCCCCAATGCTTTCCGCCAGGCAGGCCCAAACTGCGATTTTTAACAAGGGAGACGGCAGGAGGGGGAGGAGAGGGGGAAGGGGATGATGGAAAGGGGGAAGAGGCACGGAAAATTGGCGGGGAGGGGAGGGGATTGTCTGAAGATGATGCGTTGTGTGTATGTGCGCGCTGTATAGGTAAGGGAACTTTGAGGAAGGTCTGCAGATCACAGCGTGCGTGATTGGTCATTGCGCTCTGGATGATATACACTGTTACAATACCTCCAGTATGCCGAATGGCTCCAACAGACGCTGTAGTGCAGCAAGCTTTTCGAGGTCTCCGGTCATCTGTTTGTTTTCGGGTGGCAGCCAAAAACAGACACACAAACAAGTGATGGTTACACAGCTAGAAAAGAGTAAAATACTAAAATGCCAATTTCTTTTTGTACCTGTGCCTTGTGGGTCAATGGTGTGCTCATCGATGGAACAAGTGATGGTTACACAGCTAGAAAAGACAGATCATTAGATTCATTACCCCCTGAAATTCAAATCCTGAGTGTTGGGCATCATAATCTGCGGGGTTCTCCCCCTTTTCCGAAACCACAAAATAAAATGACGAGTCCGTACAAGTCTCTGTGTACATTGCCGATGGATTTTTCCTTTGTAATAACCTGCAAAATCGCAGACTGAGAAATCTACTGTTCTCTGAGGCTTGCCGCTTGACTGACTGACTTGCTGAGATTCCCATATTCTGTCTGCTGTGATTTTTATTTCTTTTTAAAACACAAAGGCCCCTTCTATTCTGGTGGTGGTGTGGTGGTGGTGGTGGGGGGGGGGCGGCAACAGTCCGGTTCCTTATCCCCGGCAAGCATGTTCGTTCAAAGACAGTGGGGGAGAAAAGAAGAGAAGAGGAGGGTCAGCCTAGCCCGCGTGGCACTAGCCGCCTAAACAAGGGGGGGCTGCTTCTGTGCACCCCACGCCCAAACCTTTGCCCCTCCACGCTATTATGCTGCGATTTCTAAGTAGTACGTGTGTTTTGAAAAAAGTACCCCGAATTCTCTCTCTCTCTCATTCCCTCCACAAATCATAACAAACCATCCATAACGAAAAAGTATAGATAGACAGTATAATAGAAAACGCAAGGTCTGTCCTTCGGGACATCCGTTAAAATTGGAACGATACAGCGAAGATTAGCATGGCACCTGCGCAAGGATGACACACATAAATCGAGAAATGGTCCAAAAAAAAAAAAAAAAAAAAAAAAAAAAAAAAAAANAAAAAAAAAAAAAAAAAAAAAAAAAAAAAAAAAAAACCGCAAAGTCTAAGTATGTGTGTGTGCATGATTGCTGCTGAGTTTCCATGTGTTTGCCTGCCTGCATGATTGCGTGTGTTGTAGATTTGCACCACAACAGCCCCTGTTCCACCCAGATGAGTAGATCCAAAACCAAAGCAACTTTACCTCTATCGCAGACGATGAAGCGCACTTGAGATGAGCCAGTCGAACAATGAAAAAAACAGTTTTACCTCTATAGCAAGCAACACGGAACACAACAGAATTGAACAGATCCATTATTTGAATTTATTATTAAATTTTATTTCCCTTTCGGACGTATCTTTACTTTAGTTTTTGGGGCACTTCTTCTATTTGCTCTTTGGGGCATTATATTTGAATTTATTAAATTTTATTTCCCTTTTACTACGCCTCCCACCCACGTACAAGGCTGGGCTTGTTAAATGTGGTTGAGCGCCCATGTGCCTTAACGGCACACTTGCATGCTATGATAGGAGGCAGAGTAAAGGGGGGATATACTCCTGTTACCTGTACAGTTTTCTTCAGATTTTCAGCTTGTATTTTGTCTGAACTATTAATGATGCTCATTCATATGCATTTACTGGTAGTACACTACCGTTTTCACCCGAATAGAACGCCCGGTCATTATAGCTGTATTTGGGGCAACTTTCCGTCTAGATACGGATATAATGACAGTGCGTTCTATTCGGGTGAAGACGGTAGGGGAGGGAGGAAGGAAGGGGTAGTAGGTGGGGTGCTATACCCAGCGAGCGGCAAGAGAATGATGGGCGGAGGAGGGGGGGGGGAATGGAGTGGTAAAGAACAAAACAGAGGAATGACAAACATCGGAGGGTTCTAAATACTCACCGCTGGAGCAGACTACTCTAGAATGACACGAGAGGCCAGGCAGCGTTTGGGTCGCAGAGCTGGGAAGGGCCACGGGCGTTGTACTTCATCTGTGGCCGTGTCCTTGTGTGGGCGCAGTGGGGAAGTAGTGTAGGGTAGACCCACGAGAGGCCGAAAGTAGCGTAAGTAGGCAGAAAAAGACAAAAAGGTTGTTCCTTTGTAGGCCGAGGTAGGATTTAGAAATCCGATAGGTTTAGACTCTAGAGGCAAATGTACTGGTCTAGAGCCTGCGGGAGAGGAATATCAGACTGCAATGATGTTTCCCTCCAAAATAGGGAGGTACCGGTAGAAGCAACTGCGTGAGAAAGCAGTTTGCCGGTATATCTTGTGGGGGGGGGAAGGGCTCAGCCTCATTTGCGGGCATGCAGCTTGGAGGCACGCTGCTGGAGCAACCACCCACCTGAAAGGTGCTGGGTGAGGAAGAAGGTGGGCTTGGCCTTCCACCACGGGTATGACGGAGAGGACCGAGGAGCAGCACAAAGGGAGGAGGAAGGAGGAGGAGGAGGAGGAGGAGGAGGAAGAGGAAGACGGGCAAGAAGCAGAGTGAAGAAGGAGCTTACCTTGACTATGATGATCTGCATCTTCATCTTCTTGGTTGGCCCTGCACCTGGGAGGTCTCAAGCAATGTGATACCTTGAAGGAAGACTCTGGGGGTGGAAGCAGGCATGGCTGCCATAGTGGGAGAGAGTAAATTTGCGTTGTCCTTTGAACATCGGAGCCTAGCCCCGATGGTCCGCCATAGCCACTGGCTATACCAAGAAGGTGGTATAGGATGGCTATGGTGGACTTCTTGAGAGGCTGGCAGTGAGGGGAGGATTCAGACATTGGTTCTGGTTCATTCTTTTGTTGTTATTATTATTAATTAACGAGATGTCGGAGGAGTCACTGGAGCCTGAAGATGGTGGCGAGCTGAAGGCGGATTGACATTGGTTCTTGCTGGTGTTCATCTTCTTCTTCTTTTTCTTCTTCTTCTTCTTCTTCTTCTTCTTCTTCTTCTTCCATTCCTAGTTCTTTCTTCTTCCTTTGTCTAGTTCTCTTTCCAAGTTCTTTCATTTCAGTTGCAAATGAACAGCATTGTCTCTCTTTCGTTTTTTTCACTGCAAGTCTGTGCAAGATAGCCAGGATCATAACGCCTTCTTTTTCCTCGCAGCTTAGTGTAGGTTGCCAAGCCAGAAGTCAAGCAGGCCTTGGTTGCTTGAATTAAAATCCGGATATAACGGCTGGGACAACGGCCGGGACAACCCGGATGTACCTGTAGATGTAGATGACCTTGGTTGCTTGAATTAAAATCCGGATATAACGGCCGGGACAACGGCCGGGACAACCCGGATGTACCTGTAGATGTAGATGACGAAAGACAGTGCCCTTATGGAGCGACGTTACATATCAGAGCTTTTGAAAATGTGTGGTGATGATAACTAAACGAATTCCTTGCTTCTCAGGCCACATTCTTCATATTTCGCCCACCAACACCTACATAGTTTCCACAAGTTCTTCTATCACAGCCATTCACACACACACATACTCCTCCACTTTCTCATGCCATCACCAACTGGCACCACGTTTCTCTCCATTTGGGAGCGCCTTATGTCACCACTCGTCCCACCACAGAGTGGTGTGATGTTCCTTGAGAATTGCCTAACGACTACCTCCCTCTCTCTCTCTCTCTCTCTCTCTCTCTCTCTCTCTCTCTCTCTCTCTCTCTCTCTCTCTCTCTCTCTCTCTCTCTCTCTCTCTC